GGAGAGTGGGAAATGGACATTTATTAAAGTATAAAGATAACCAACCAGTACTGAATACCCAGTCAGGATACAGGATCATGAGTTTAAACTGGAATCAGTCAGCAAAAAGTACATGCTTTTCTCCAGACTTGTTCAGCTGCCAATGCAGAATAAGACAGTGGGATAACCAGAGGGAGAGTTCTTTTGGGGAAAGTGAAATGGAAGAAACTCTTAAGAGAGTTAACTTTTTGAAAGTACATAGATATGATAGAGCTGAGTATGGAATAAAGAAAAACGTGAGAGAGATCATGAAGAATGAACAAGAGTAAAGACTGCTGATTTAGAGAACTTGGTATGATCAAAGCACAGAGGCGGAGGAGAATGAGAGAGAATGCAGGGAAGTGAGGTTAAAAAAACTGGATACAGAAGATGGGGGACAGTACAGCTGTCAGTGATAACAAGGGCCAGGGCAGACCCGCAGGTGCGGTAGCTGTTGTTAAGATGGGGAAGGATACAGAAGGTGAGGCAGGTCAAGGAACAGTGCAGCCACATGAGGGATGAAGTTTTCACAAGGACATTGAAGACACCAATAAAAATGATAAGGGAGCAGAGGAGATGACAGAACTCTTCCGTGAGTGAAGGGAAGAGACCAGGAGATTAGTATGTCACCAAAAGGAAAGGTAGGCCAGTCTGATGTGAACGGCAAAGATGACTGAGTTTCAAGGACAGAGCAGTTATACAGAAGCACAAAGAGAACAGAGACACCAGCCTCACTCTCAAACCCCAAGGGTTATCTGTATTAATGGCCAATTATTTTCTTTAATCTAAATAACTGGTATCGTGTAGACAACATGATGTCTGTTCCATCAACGGTCAGAGCTAGAAAGGGATAGGATTCATTAGGTTTAACCCTCATGTTTCATTTTTATTCTATTACATAAAGATATTTAACCTCACCCACTTACAGAGGTACTCTAGAGAATAAGGAGCTAGTATACATAAAGTATTTGAAATTATAATACATTCACCTCCATTATTCATTTTCAGATTTGCCTTGTATGAAATAAACCTTGACATTGTAGGATGTTTCACTGGAGGGGATGGAGAATTGCGATATAATGACTAGGAAATACAAGACTAGGAAGACGCTATATTCTCACAGGTGATAAGACTGCATATTTACAATTTCCCTTTCCCTCTCAAACTGTGAACATAACAATTTAACACTAAAGGCTGAACCTTCCCTTTGGCTGCATGAAGCTAATAAAGCAAAACAATCAGCACATCTGGGGTACAATTTACAGGAAGGACTTACTACACACTTCTTCCAGTTCTTTTGACAAATGTACTGGCTCTGTTGATGCCCTATGATAGATCCATTTCTCTCTGTCCTTTTTTTATAATGTATCTCACAAGGAGAATAAGCAGAAAACATATTATACAACACAACTGTTTGTTTTTTCATTTCGCGTTCATGATTACTTGAGTCACAGATGACATATGATTGAAACTGGTAACGTATGTCTGTGTCTGACAGAGGACATTTTTCATCCTTCGAGTCTGGGTTACATCTTCAGCAGCAGGTGTTGTGAATCTAAGTGAAGTGAAACAGGCTTCTAAATTCACTTCTGAATACTTCAGCATACTTCAGAGTGCTACATGGGACCAGAAATAAAAGGAACAGTTCTGTCTTTCTATTCTAAGCCATGGAAGTCTAGCTTACTTCCAGACTCTACAAGCTTCAATAACTCATTTCATTTTAATGTGGTATTTGTCCTTTTGATCAGAGGCTGGCTACCTGGCCCACCTTTTCCTGTCCTCTGCTCCACCCCTTTCCTCTGCACATCTTTGACCCTATTGGATCACAGAGGTGTGAGAGCAATTCCTGTACCCCAAATGATTGTTCATCCCTCCTTGCCTTTCCTGGTGCTTGGAATGCTCTTAGCATTGTTCACCTCTGGAACATTTTGACACATCCTTCGATGTTCAGGTAAAGCATCACTTACCTTATGAGGTCTTTCCAGTCTACTGCATCCATCTCTCTCACAGCTAGTCATTCTCTTTCCTTTCTTTCCAGGTGCATCTGAACACACATCAGGTACTGTTAGGGTGGCCAGACCAGGGCAACTTTGAGAGGAAAGGGGCCCATTGTTAATAATTACCCTGGGACAGCGGTTGTAAATGCTGACTTCCCTGGCTAACCAGGATGTGTGGTCACCCTAATTATAGCCTTTAAGGTGTCGCGTTGTGGAACCAACCTCCTCCTACAATCAGACTGTGAGGGCAAGGCTGTTCTGCACTTCATGCAATGGCCAGTGGAATTTAAATACTTAGTGGATATCTACTGCCTTATTCTCACCTTTCTTGTAATAAAGATGTCTTTAGGAAATCACCCTGCCACACTCTGTATTCTTCTAATCCCCAGCCCATGTCGTGTGAATGGAGCCGAACCTACCCTCCTTTGCCCCATGTGGGTAGGGACAGGGTTCAGGTTCCACAGGTCAAAGTGATACAGGTCACTGGCCAGCCCTCCTCAGTCAGATTGGTTCAGATGTGCACGTGGTGGTCTAATTAGAGCCAATCTTATCGTGTTTTTTTTTTTTCAAACTGTGGAGAAAAGAAAACTCACTTGCCACTTTGGCTTTTATTCTGTGAGGCTGGAACTGCCAGGGAAGCCCTGGCCTCCCCTCCAAGGAGAGGTACTAGTGAGAATGCAGCAAACACTGAAGAAAACAAGAGCCAAGAATGGATCCTCCAAGAAACTACTGGAGCTTCTGTCTCCTTTGTTGCCTGCAGTTGGATTTTTTAACTCTGTACTTTTGAGTCACATGAACCCATAAATTCCCTTTTCACTGAAGTCAGTTTGAGTTGTGTTCGCAGAAAAAAATTTGTTTTCCTGACTGATGAGGCCTGGGCCATTGGAGGCGCTCGGTAAGTACTGGTTGAATGAGATGACTGAATGGAGCAGGGGCTACTTGGGGGCGGTCTCGGGACTGTGAGTGACAGTCAGTAACTCTCCCACCTGCGGCTCCCAAGAGCCTACTGCTGAGTTACCTGTCCCTTAGGAGTGCCCTGTGCTGGCAGTGCCTCCTTCAGGGACAGCTCCTGAGGCATCAACACAGGCTGTCATTTTTGTTTGTTTCTTTGTTTCTGTACTTTATAGGCACTTTTTTTTTTGGTCCTAGGTGACTTGATAATAATTTGGGGACAGCTATTGAAATAAAAGGCAGTGTTACCTCCAGTTGTTGTTTATAAAGGTCACTAACTGGAGATCTGAAATACGCCATCAAGATAAACACCATCTCCTCCCTAACCGTTCTCCCTCCCCTTCTTTAACCAGGACGCAGGGGCTTCGTCCAAGCACACACACTTTAGACCACCAGTCTGGTCCTGCTGGCCCCATCAGCACTGCTCTCATGTTTCCTCTCATCTAAAAGGCCTATATAATGATACATATTAAGAAGATGTTTAGAGATCCCAGACACCAAGGCCTATGAAACAGTTTATGGTGGGGAGGGCACGGATGGTGTCACAGTCCTTGTGTAAACAGCCGCTGCCCAGGGTGTCAGCTCACCACGGGGAGCCCGCTGTGCTCAGCTCCACAGTGAGCGCAGATTAGTTCACTTACCAGTTGGCCAGTTCCTTCTGGGTTCGAGCTGGAGAGGAGCTGACTGACAAGATTTGACTTGAAAATCCATATTTCAAACGGATTTTTCTGAAGGCTGGAAATGGGTGGAGCATAAAGAATATCATTTTGATGAAACAACTAGAAACATCTATTTGGAATAAACTGTATTTGGGAGAATCTTTGGATAAAAATTCACCTCTCTTCCTTTGAATTGAACACGAAATAGTGTTAAGATTAATACATAAAATGATAGGTTAATGTCATCTCACCAACCATGAGTTGTCAACCAACTTGAGTTTAATGACCCATTTTGACATCAAGCGCTCTCACCAATAACGACTGTGACACAGGAGCTCTGGGCTGCATTCCAGAGGCCCAAAGGACACCCTTGCCCTTTCCTCTGTGGTTTTGCCCACACGGCTTACATTACTTCATGGGGGTATTGATCATCCATGCCCCCAGATCTGTTCTCCACACAGCTAAGTAATTTTTTTAGCATCATAAATTAGAGCATATCTTTCTCTAGCTTAAATCCTTCCACTGGATTTTCATTCTCTCAGAATGAAATCCAAGCTCCTTGGCATATTCTATAATGTCTTGCCTGGTCTGTCTATATTCAACTCAGATTACTTATGCTCTTACTCACTAAACGCCAGCCAGTGTCATCTTTTAAGGTCTCATGTGCTGTGTTCATTTCAGCACCAGGGACTTTGCACATGCTATTCCCGCTGTCTGGAAGGTTGTTCTCCCCACCCTCTACAATTACCGCTCTCTACTTTTCCTTGCTTTATTTTTTTTTTATTTTTTATTTTTTTACTTTTTCTTGCTTTAAAGCTCTTATTGCATTTGGTAACTGCACATTCATGTGCTTGTTGATTTAATATCTGTCTTCACTAGAGTGTAAGCTTAAGGAAGGCAGGAAGGGACCTAATCTGTTTTGTTTATCATTCTGTTCACTGGCACATAGAAGGTAGGTACTCAATAAATATTTGTTGAAATATGATAAAATAAAATCAAGTCATGGGATGGAGTTCATACACCACTTAGCTTAGGAGCACCAGCCTCATTCTAAGTCACCTGCAAGGATGCTGTCCTCTCTTCTTCAGTCCTGGGAACAGATCTGCCCCCAAAAGGCTTTTTAAAACTATAAATGTTAGGGTTAAAAGGTACCCTGGAGATACTGGTTTACAGATGGGGAATGCTGAGGCTTATAAAACTGGGTGACTTACCTGGGAAGGGGTCACTTCTTCGCTCCTCTGGGTTCTTCAATGAGGGAATTTTTCCTAAGTGCTCCTGGCTTTTTACATCCCCCTTGGAGGCAAAGCGAGTTGATTATGAGTTTGGAGAGGAACTAGGAGTGTGGGTTCAGCCCTCAGCCCCTCTTTCCCGTGGGGATCTGTCACAGGACATGCACGTTCTGCCCTGCTCCTCCTCACCCCAAGTTTTCAGGGTTAGGCTCTGCCGTGGGGGTGGCCTGCAGCTGGCTAGTTGTGCTTCTGACTGGGGATGGTGAGGGATGTTTGTCTAATTCTGGGTTCCGTTTATGCAGGGCCATGGTGCCTGCACACTTGAGCTCTGTTCTCACGTCTAGCTCCTAATTCGTTTAAAAGGAAGTAATTTTCTGATTCCTCTGCCTGTTTTACTTGGTCTAGAACTGGCTGAGCTTAGGCCCCTTATATCTCAACACCAAAGCCCCACAGTCGTGGGGACTAGAATTCAAATTTTTCCGAGCTCTGGCTCTGACTTCCAGGGTGTCAAGTGCATACATCAGCCAGTTCCACCACAACTCCCTCCTTCCCAGCCACCTGTGAACTGTCTCTCCGACCGTCAGCACCTCCGACCCGGCGCTGCAGGGGCAAGTCTGTCCTCCGCTCCGTGCTTTCCTCATGCTGATTCCGGTTAGAGACATACTTATAATGATGTCACCATGAACATGTTTTGAGGCTAATGAGATAAATGTTTATAGAGCCAACTTAATAGAAAAATTGGGTAGTAATCAGATTAAAAAATAAGTTAAATACCTCATTATGAGTTACTCAGGTTATAAATACATTTTTAATCATCAACATATTCATTTTTACTTTTCCTCAAATTGTATTGTAAAGTCTCTAATTTTGTGTTTTATTTTAAATTGTTTCATGTAGCTTCTTGAAAGCTCTCCTTTCACTCCAACATTTATCTGGATAGGAGATCGGGATATTAGTCCTTTGGTGGTTGACGCATATTTCAGTTCATTATGACGAAGAGGAGAACTGTATTCTGCTTTATCATTGCTCTAACGTTAACACTTTCAGTATAATATTTCTAATGGACTAATAGGTGGACCCTTCCCACATACAAATGGAGTATAAAAAATTGTTTGGTATAATTATGATCTTACTTGTGGAAACAAGTATCTTCCCTAGTCATCCTGGGAATAGTGGAGAAGAGAAAATTGCTTACAAGGAAAAAGCAAAAGAAATACATATCTTTACTGAGAGTCCTTAACCACTCTCCATTGTTCCACCTGAAGCAAAAAGTAAAAGAAATGGTAACAATAATGTGAATAAAATAAAACTTAAAGAGCAAACAAACACTAGTGGTTCAAAAGATTAAGGCCACTGCACACTGTGCATCTGGAGGAGCAGTGGGGCAATGGATGTTTTCCCCTGAGCATCACCTCCTTTTCCATTAGGAGACTGACCTTCTCAACTCTTTTCTGCATCAAGATGGCATATGTCCTTCTCAGTTTGGAGGCTGTGTGCTCTATTTCAGAGATTCTGCTGTCTTTGGCATAGCTAGATACAGAGTTTTGATTTCTCATATTTTTATTTCTTCTTATCAAGCACTCAACAACTACCTACAAAAGAATACCCTCTGAGTATAGAAATACCTTAGAACTTGAAGAGACCAAGCGAACATTGTTTCCATAGGAACGTTTTTGTGCTTTTAGTTCCTATGAGATCAAAGCTTATGACCAGGTTGGAAAGAAACAGATGTATCTATCTTGCTATTCCTCTTGTCTATTTTAATGCCACAATGCTACTCCCTGACACAAGCCCGAACTCCAGTCAAGGCTATTATCTCTGTCGATTCTTGTCACATTAGTTGGAGTATCAGCTAAACTACTGAAAAGAGAGACTTCAAGACACAGGGGCTTGAACCTGAGAGAAGTTTATTTCTCTCTCCCACGACAGTCTGGAGGTGGGAGTTCCAGGCTGGAGTCGTGGCTCTGCTCTACGAAATCCTGTAAGGACTTGGGCTCCTTCCATCTTGTGTTTCTACCATCCCCTAGGCATTTTCCTCATTTTTATGGTCAAAGACTGGTCGATGCACGTTTGTTTCAGCCTTCAGAAAGTAGAGCTTAAGTGCATGATATGCAATTTCATTTTATGTAACTGTAATAGACAGAACAGTATTTTCCAGTATCCAGTTCTTTTCTATTTCTGGGCACACGGACCGTTACACTTCTTCACTCTCCGTGGTTAGGCACAGGCATGTGACTTGTTTTGACCAAGCCAATAGGAGCCGGAGAGGCATGCGTCACCTGTGTGCTGAAGTTCTCGTGGCTGGGGCTGGACTCTCCATCCCTTACTCCCCCTGCCATGAGGGCCACAAAGCACATGTTCATGCAACAGGAGGTGCGATGAGATGGGAACTTGCCGGAATCCTGAGTGAATGCAAAGTAGTCCTCTGGGCTTGCAGCAGATTCTGGTGGGCAAGAAATCATCTCGTGCTGTTTATGCCACAACATAACCTATCCTATTCTGACTTTTACAGCAGACGATGTGGACACTGTACACATTATTTCTGCCCATGTTTTATGGGTGAGAACATAGTTGCATGGATAATCTTGGTTCAAGGGTGAGCAGGGCTGTTTATACTGCGTTACTATGGAAACAGAGCAGGGCAGATAGCTGGGGCAGTTGGGGGCAGTTGGTCTCAATTTCCAGCCTCATATTCTAGCGCTCTGCTTGCTTGGAATGCCTTCCTCCCACTTCTCAGTGTGGGCACATCCCACACATCCTCAAAGCACAGCCTCCTGCAAACTCCTCAACATTCCTGACTTCTGTCTCCTCTAAATTCGATGGCTCAATGTTTATGACCTTTTATAATGTGAGTCATTCATTTAAAAAGGGTTATGGAATATTCACCCACCACCAGGTTAGACACAGGTATATACTGGTGATGTAATCCCCAACTTCCGGAACTTGAAGCTTCCACCTGGGTAACATGGGGCCCTACTCAAATTACACAGTTCATATATGAATCAGCCAGCAGTGGGATGGCATATGAGTAAATGCTAAGTGGCAGCGCACTACTGGAAGATCCGAGAAGGGAGAAAACCCTGAGGTAGACTGTAGGACGCAAGAGGACAAGGACCATGCCTGTCCTAGATTCTGCTTTATCTCCAGTGCTGATCACTGGGCCTGGCATACTGTAAGTGCTTAATATGTTTTTGTTGTTTTCATGGAGAACTGTGAGGCAGGCCTGATGGGTATCTTGAGGAATCTTGGGACATAAGGTTGGACCAGTAAGTAGGATGGGACCAGATTTTGAGAAGTTAGTCATGGATTTGTGGATCTCCATGTACTAGAAAATGAGACATACAGGCTTTTTTTAAAGGGAGATTTAGAAAGAGTCTACTGGTTTGCCAAGTGAGTTTGGATGTAAATATTGAAGTAAAAAAGATGACTAAGTCAAGACTACGGTGATGAAAACCTAGTTTGGGATGCCAGTGGTAGACCTCAATGCAAAAGGGCAAACCTAATAGACATTTCAAAAGGAGGATCAACAGGAATTGGTGACAGAATACAAGGGTTAAGGGGAAAAAAAAAGATGGAAAAAAACAGATGGAAAAAAATAGATGGAGTAAGAGCAACTAAAGGTTCCAGTCTAGAATTCTGGAATGAGAGTTCTACCATTAAAGAGATAAATGTTGCAAAAGGCACCTGTGATGAGTTGAACTTGAGGCATTTTGTATCTGCTGTGTGGGAGGAAATCTACATGGGGACATGGAGCGAGCAGCTGAGGACTGGAGAGCAGGTGTTGTCAGTAATGAAGATACAGCTTTGGGAACCATATGCTGTGGACATGCACGGCCTGAACAGACCTCTGCTCAGCTTGTATCTCTTCCAGCATATGTTATGGCAAACAGGACCAGTCCTCAGTACAATCATCAAGTGGACCTTGCCCTCTCGTTGACTCTTCCCTGCCAGTGGAGCCCCTGGACTGTCTGTCCATGCCAGTATATAAGGGAAAGGAAGATGGCAGATCATGCAGAGGAAGGGCAGGGTAGAGGACAGCTGAAGGGATAGAGAGTGGCAGAAGGAATGCATCCCAGAAAGAATGGCATGGCTGGGAAGTGCAGAGGTCGAGAGCGGAGGCACACAGGCAGCTTCTAAAGACTTACAGATGTAAGAGATGTGTGTATCTCTGGGTGAGTGCACATGTGTGTATAGAGTCAAATGCGTATGTACTCAGTAAAGATCAGCAAATACGTCTCCACCCACCAACCCTGCCCTTCATTTGTGTTCCAAACGATCCACCTATTCCTCCATTTATTCAATAAGGATTAAGTACCATTTACTGCCAAACACAGTGGGCATGGAAACAAACCAGGCTGATGCAGTCTCTGCCCTTATACGACCTATATATTAAAGGAGATGTAGATGGTGAATACATACAAATTCATCAATTCCCTAAACAGTGAAAAGGAGAGAACTATGTGCTCCAAATTCTATCAGTCTGGCCTCCTCAAAGTGGAAGAGTTTAGGCGGAGCTCTGCAGAAGCAGGAGGCATTCTGAGTCAGACGATTCTTTGAAAATAGCTCATTTGGGAAGTTACTAGCCCGAAGTCCTGGAGAGGAGGGCCTGGCTGTGAACACTGAGAGCCATTGCCATCTCACTAGCCACCTGCAATCCTGGCACCGACACCAAAAGGCAATCTCAATGAGAGCAGAGGCCTGCCTTCAGTTTTGCAGGCTTAGAAAAATTATCCAGCATTTTCCTCACTTGCTTCCAATTTCAGTCTTTCGGTCTGTCTTTGGGTTCAGGAAACGAAACAAGGGACATAAAGATGGTGAAAAAGTGGGCTACCAAGAAGAGAACAGTAATAGGGGAGGTTTGGGGTGAGAGCAAAAGGACTGCAGATGTGTAAATCATTTTAACTTACTTGTATTTTCTTCTGTTTTCTATCCATCGGATCACAGGTTTGCTGGGTCGTAGGGTCTGGACTGGTGTTGCTGGCTGGAACCACTGAAGCGCCTAGTCCCACAGTGGCCAGAGACCCCTGTTCTCCCCAAGTTACAACTGTGGGGCTGTCCTGTGGGCTAGGTCCTTCCACCAGGTGATTTTACCCCAGGGACCAAGTCCATTGCTGTGTATCATTTAGCTTTGGGCTCACTGC